GGGAAACGACGGCAGGGGAGGGTAGTTTCCGGCTTGCGAGGGTAACGAGTCATTTCCTACCCTGGCCCTCACCTGTGCCCCTCGCCCCTGCCCCTGGCTTTGCGAATATTGCCGACTAAACGTCGTCGTCGTCGTCGGGGGGGGGGGGGATTAAGGAAAAAGTCCTTAGAAAGTCTGGGGGATGAAACAACCCCGTGGCAGGAAAAAAAAACTCACCGGCGTTCCTTGACCGTTCGCCTCATTTTAATTCCTTACAAATCGTCCGGAAGGAAGGGGGTTGAATACCGGTGGGGGGGCAAAAACGCGACGCCGCATAAATTTGCATCCCCCTTCAAAGGGGATGCCGGGGATAAATGGGGCGGATCATCGTAAATACGAAAAAGCGTTTCAATAAGTCTGCGGCCGGTATTCATGGGCGAGGGGGGAGGGGGTCTTAAATGAAGACGAATCTTCCCCCAGCGAGTCGGGGGGGGGGGCAACAGCCCCCGTCTTCCACGGTTATATCGTTATTATCGCGCTCCCGGTGACCCGGTTTTTCCGCCGGGGGTGGCGGGAAATATATAGATATACATGGATACATATATATCGATGCCCCCGCGGATTCACCCCCTCCCCCTTCCTCCCCCCCAGGTTCCAGCCAATAAAGCGCTGACTGGGCGAGCTTTTTCGACGTTTTCATCCCCCCCCGGCGAAGTTCCGGTAATGCCGGAATATAAATTACCCCTCGACTTCCGGTTAACCGTGGGTGGCGGAAGAGGCTTTTATCACGAGCTATCAACCGATTCGAGTCACTTCGGGGGGTTGATAAGGAAAGGTCGTGAGTAAGCGTTCAGGAGGTTCGCAAAGAAGCGGGGGGAAATAATTCTCCTTTTATCGTTTTTACGTAGATATCACTTATCCTCGTTATCAATCTCTGCATTCTTTTTTTCTCTGCTTATCACTCTCGTGCGGACGTAACTTCCTCCGCTTTATCATTTCCACGTGTATATGATTTATCTCCTCGCATCCCTTGCTCGTGCACACGATACTTCTTCCTTCCTTATGCGGCATGGGGGTGGATATTTTTTTTCTAAATACACCCCCACGAATAGAGCGGGGGGGTGGAGGCAAATTGAGGGATAGGGGGAGGGACAACAAGTCACCCCTCGCCGCTTCCGGGGGTAACAGGTTGCAGGGTGCGTTCCCCCCGGCGGAATTGGAGGGGGGCGGGTGGGGTGAAAAAAAGAAAGGGGGAAAGAATGGAAACGGCGGAGGGCGGAAGGGGTGGGACAAAAAAAATGGCAGGAAATTCCAGCGAGAGCAAAGTGCATTACCGGTGTATAGACCCGGCCGGGGGTAAAACGTCCCGAAGTATCCGTTCCCCCCCTCGTCCCCCTTAACCTCCCCCATCCCCCGTATAGCCCCCTTTCTCACCCCCTGCACAGCCCACAAGTAATGCTTCATCTTTATCGCGAGTCGTTTCTCTTTTTTACGTACTTCCAGGATCCGGCTCGTCCCGGCAACCCTTCGGCACTGATCCCCCCCCCTGCCTCCACCCCCAACCCCCAAACTATCGTTTACTTCCGCTCGAGCTGGGCTCCGCTTTTTCCGGGGTACGCCTGAAATATCGCCCCCCCTCCCCTCCCCCTCACTATCTCTCACCATTAGTCGAATGCCACTTCGACGGGGATGTCTTTAAGAGGGTGGCGAGGGGGTGGAAAAATGGCGATGGCGCGGAAGAGGCCAATCGAGGCTGAAGGGGTGCGTGTACGCGTTTCCCCACACGATTTTCCATCCTCTCGTGTCCTTCGCTTTTGTTTCGTGCGAGGGGGATGAAAATCCAAAGCTGGGGGTGGGCGGGTGGGTGGTCCGGGATTTTTTTTTCTTTCGTTCTCCATTTTCAACTTACTCGGGGCTCGTAAATCGCGAGAGTATTTCAGACATCCGCCCCAAGGTAGAATTATGGCGATTTCATAAGAATTAGGGAAAAATGAAGGAGGAAGGGAATGGAAAGGAGAGAAGGGGGAGAAATTTTCGAGAAACAGGGAAATAAGAAATCCCGGGGACCCTGTTTCGAGATCCTGGGGCGCAGTTTCCGGGGCGGAAGGGCGCGGGGGATCGACGGGGGCGAGTTTCCGGTCGCCGCGGCCGCGGCAAGAACGTTTATCCCAGGGGGTGGAAACCACCCCCCGTTGGACGGGGAACTTGGCTAAACTGCACGGAAATCGGTTTACAACGCCCCGCCGTCCGATTTCGCCCGGTCGGTCGTCCATTACTCGCCGAATCCGCCCGGTCGGTTTGCCCCCCCCCCCTTTACCCCCCTTTTTCTTTTTCACCCCATCTCTCCCTCCCCCTTGCGCACCGGGTGGGCGCCATTCGTCTTCCGAACTATTCGGCAGCCAAGTACCATTTCGCTGGTTCTTCGTCCACCCCCCCCTGGTAGTTACACTCCCCCCGTGGTCCATTTTTCACCCACGACCTTCGCGAGGTAATGGTACGCGCCTTAATATCTGGATAATAAAGGGGGGTGGCTGTCATCTCTCCCGATTTACCTTGACGAAAAGGGATGAGGTGTCAGGGGTGATTTTTAGGAGCGTCCCCTGGGATGTCGCGAGCACCCCGTAAACGTCGATCTGGACTCCTTTCTCGTGACTTATGGGGCCCGAACCACCCCCTCAGGGTCGTGACCACGGTGGACGTCGTTCGGGGTGAATTTCCACGGGGCCAGTCGATTTTACGGGGGTTGACCTCCGCTGAAAGGGTTCGCGGGCCGAGCTTTCAAATTAAATGGAGGGTGGAAGAGAATGCCGGGGGCTAAGGCTGGGGGTGGCCTCTCGCCGTCTCGAAGGGTGCTCCCTGGCTTTTCAACGGGGCCGAAATTGCATTTCGCCCTGACGACGAGAACCCAATTTACGGCCATTTGCCCGATTGCGATTTTTCCCTCCCCTGGACTCTCCGCGACTCTTTCCAGGACTTCGGGGTGGAGTGTCGGAATTTGGGGGTACCATCGGTTAAACCATGGATTCAAATTTTTCCTCGACTTTCTCTAGAGGTTTTGGGGTGGAGCGAAAGCACTTTTTGTCCCCGGGAAATTCGAACCCACGTTGCGGGGGTGGCGGAAGAATCTCCAGCCCTGAAAAGGAAGAAGCCCCTAAAAAACGCAATCTCGATTCTGGAGGTATAAACGGGGGTGACTTGCCCCCGGGGTCTTCTTTCCGGGTCTCGTCTGAGAGGGAAAGTCTGGAATATTGGACCCGCTTTGATCTCGGTACTTTCACCCCCCTCGCTCGCGACTTTTTAATCGAATTTATTAACCCCTTCAGCCCTTCGACACCCGGGCGAGCGTAAAAGGTAAGTGCCATCGAGACTCTTGAAACTCTCCGAATTCGTCTCTGAAGGGTGCTCCTTTATCATCCCCTTATCTTCGCCCACATTTCCCACCCTGGTCTCCTCCCTCGAAAGGGCGAACGATGGCGTTTACACGGGGATCGCGAGTTCTCTTTGCCTTTTGTCCCCCGACGCCGGAAGCGGCCATTTTGCCAAAGGGGTGAGAAAGACCCTCGAGGACTGTTCCTCTCTCCTCGGCTTAATCAAATGATAAAAGCACCGCCGATTGGCCTCCTTTAAATCGCACAATGCCGGACGGGGCTATTTATGTGCCGCCTCCTTTTTCAACCCCTTTTGCGCCGCTTTTTCATCCCTTTCTGTTCGCGGCCTCTCTCGTACTTTCCTCCACTTCTCCACACTTTCCCCTCGCATTTCCCCGCACCCCATCGTTCGTTTTCTCCTTATTCTCGATTATAATTCCCTTGCACATTTTCCTGCGCTTTTTTCCCTCCCCCTTCGGGCGTGAATTTTTCCACTTTTCCACCCCTTCTGTCCTTCTTTCATTATCCCCTTTATTTTTCTTTGCCCACCTGGTCCTTTTCTTTTTTTTTGGTATCGGTCAGATCCACCGCCACCACCCTGGGGGTGGTTGCGCAAGGTCAGGGACCGGAAGTGAGGCGACCTCATGACCGACAACCCCCGAGCTCGTTCTCTCGGCTTGTTTGCACGGAAATCCGTGTACCGGGGTCTCGTCTCCACGATTGGACCACCCTCTTCCTCCACCCACACACCCCTGTTAAAAGGTGCCACTCGGCTCGGGACAGTTTCAATTTCGCTAGGGGATCCAATTTATGGGGAGCCGCCTTTCCATAAAACGAAATTTGATCCTGCGGAATAGGGGGTGGTTAATTCCTTCCTGGGCAATTCCTTAAACTCACCCTCGACCCCATTGCCATTGGTCGGTTTTTATGGGACGCCGTCCTGCCCGCCCATCCCTTGAATACGATAAACCGATCCGCCATCTTGAAATCCTTTGCAACCCCCTTAGCGAGGGGCGACTTCTGCCCCCTCTGAAATTATCTTCTCGCCTTTCGAAACCCGATGCTGGAGCTCTTTTATTCTGTCGGATCCAGGATTCGACTTTCTGGAGACTTTGAGGGTGGCTCTTTTACGGGTGGCGAACTCTCGTGAGATTCGAGGGTAGAAGTGGTGAATCGTAAAATACGGGGATCGTGAAATAATTAAAATCGACAACGCCTTTCGATAATCCGCTCTGTACATCATAATTCTACAATTATTTCTGTATTTCTCGATTGTCTTAAAATCTTGTGGAATCTAATTTTTGCAGGTTAGGAAACCCTCCCCTAGTCGAATGGATAAGTCGGGTGCACTGGATTATGGCAACTCAAGGTCCGAGGTAAAAGGGATGTATCGCGATCGCTCTTTAGTCCATCGCCGATTGAATTGTCCTACAATGTTCAGAATCTAATTTTCGCAATTACCATATTTGCAGGTTAGGGCAAGAGTTGTGGCGAAATAACGTTTGAGGTAAAAGGGGTGTATCGCGGTCGCTCTTTAGTCCATCGCCGATTTAATTGCCCTACAATGTTCCGAATCTAATTTTCGCAATTACCATTTTTTCAGGTTAGGAAACCCTTTCCCCGGGTGATTAGACAAGTCAGGGTTGGACTCACTTATGGCGACGCAGACCCTCCAGAGTCCGCTGTAGGTGAGCTTGCTGTCGGGCTCGGTGGATGCGTTGGCCGAGGGCGCCCTGGGGAGGCGCTCCTCCGTCAGCAGCCACTCTCCAGTGGTGATAGCGACGGTGATAACAGCCATGGACAGGACCGCGGAGACGCCGGAGGCGACGCCGAGCACCCCTCCGCCGGTACCATCCCCGTTGGCAGCGGCGCAGCACCGGCAGGACATCACGACCCGGCCACCCCCGGGAGCATGTCCTGGGTCCTGTTCCAGGACCGGGACCCCTCCTCCTGGGAACGAAGAAGCAGCAGAGAAGCCTTTCCGCGCCGCCGCTGATAACGTCCCCCCCACACCGGGATTCACCCCGTAATCTGCACCCCCTCACCCCCGGGAAAAAATTGAACTTTTAATCCCACGTATTAATTCCCGAGGGGTCTGTCAGACCCATTCGACTAGCCTTTCCGGGGGTTTTTCTCACCCCGTCTCGGGGGGTGGTTTCCCCCCGACGTCAGGGTGGTTTCCACCCCCTGGGTGGTTCGGATTATCGAGGGGCTTTGATCCGAGAGATGCACTCCCATGAGAGGGGGATGAGAATTTTCACGGTGGTGGTGCGTGTACTCACCCTATGGGGGGATTGATAAGGGATGGAAAAGTGTGGGGGGAGCAGAGTGCAGAGGAAAGTTTTTCCGGTACAACGGGGATGTTCCGGAAGTTCGCCACCCCGTAGGGGTGAGAGACAACCCTTTGTTGGGAAAGTGCGTGGAGAGCTCCGGGAAACGGGGGGACCTCCCCCTGGGGGGGGTGGAAAGCCAATCAGCCCCATTCTACCCTACCCCTCGTTTCACTGAAGGAAAGGAACATAACCTAGAAATTATTCCTACAATTCTTCCAGGATAGGACCACCCCTTGCAGACACGTCGCGATTTAAATTGCCACTTTTCTTATCACGTCTTATCAGGAGCCGATCGCTGCCCGAGGGAAACGAAAGGGAACGTCGACGGGGACGAGGTTTCACCGGGAAATGGCGAAACTGGGAATACGGGAGAATTGGGGAAAATTCAGGAAAATTCAGGAATATCGAGGGGGTGGCTACTCAATTTCTTGGGGGTAGGTTCTGATCGCTCTTATTTTTTTTTTTTTTTTCCAGTTTCTCAGTTTATATCGGTGCGTTCGACCTCGGGCGCAATTAGCCGCGGTTCCTGGGGGACTTCGCCCCCGTGAAAGACTCCTCTCCCCTTGTTCTCTTATTTTCTTACTTCCCCTTTTCTATCGAGGTCTCGTTTCATCCCTTTTTATTCCGGATCCGGATCGCCTTTGCGCGGGCTCTCCACTCTTCGTTTTGCGGATTTGAGCTCCCTTTGACAGCTCGAGGGGAACTCCCGTGTCAATGAGTAATAGAGGGGTGGGGGTGGGGGGAAGTCACCCCGAGAGGAAAAGGGCAAAGAGATCGCGGGGGGGTGACTTCAAAGAGTCCGGGGATTCTCGAAATTCATTAGACGAGCCGATCAAGGATCGGGATTTAATTCCAGACAATTACTCCTGCCTCCCCCTCTTCGAGTAAGTACAATCAGGGGCGGGGGTTGAATTAGCGACCCTGAAAAATCACCCCAGTCTAATTTCGATCAACCCTCCTTCCGTACATCCTAATCGTCTCACGAGAGACCTCAGGTAAAATTTACAGACACCGTGGGGGGTGATAATAAATTCATCGGGCCTCATGATAAGGCTTTAATCCCGACAATTATCCCGCGATTTTCCCGGGGATGAGCGTAATCCGCGATAACTGGGAGGATGGGGATTTTTTCCTCTAAAAAGTGACAATCACCTTGACGGAGAAGCACGGGCCGGTGTCGGGGGTCGGGGGCATTTTATCACCCCGGGGGGTGGCGTCGCGTGCCATTAATAAAGGCGTTATCACATCCAGGCCGCGGAGGGTGGGTGGGTGGGNAGTGCTCGCTCGAGAGTAAATTCAACAGGTGATTAAAATATTAACGGGCTTCTTCGCCGAGCTCGAGGGAGCCCGATGAGGGGTTGCGACCCCCCAGCGACTCGTCGGTTCAAAAACTGATAAGCGCCGGCCAGCTGAACCGATCGATCAATAATCGATCCCCCTCCCTCCCCCCGAACATCGAAGGCGTCGACGACCCGATAAGTATCGATCTCTCGACCCCTCGAGCTCGGGGATGCGAAAACGAGACAGCCCCTTTACGGGCGCGATGCGTCGCGATGACATAAGGGGGTGGGGTGGGGTGGGGTGGGGGGTAGATGGATCCTCGCGTCGCCTCATAAATATTTTATCACCGGCGCTGATTTCCGGACTAAGCGCCTGTTCCATTCAGAAGGGTGGGCGGGGGGGCGAAGCGCCCCATCGAGCTCAGAGGATGCACCTGTGACGCGTGCCGGTACATTTTTTATACCCCGCGTGGGGGGGGGGAATCCACCCCCTGGCGAGAAATTTCGCTAACCCCGGAATCCCGCAATCAGACGCGAGCATAATCCGCGCAGTCGGGCAAAGAGCCGGGGACCAATCAGCGGGGTGGTTTTTATCCCCCACCCCCACGGCCACCCCCTCAAGGAACCCCATCCGCCGGGGTTATTCGAGCCTAATTGCAATCAATTTTCCGCGCTCATTAGCGCCCGTGAATGCCTTCATTGAACGGGGTTGCCCCGATCGGGGGTGCGGTGGGGGCGAAAACCGAGACTACCTCAGGGAAAGGGGGGGCTGTCGTTCGCCCCTTCGTTAAGGGTTGCCCTCGCCTTCGCCGTTCGTTTCGGCTCTCGTTAAAGGCTGGGGGGAGCCCCCCCGATTGACGAGGGGGTGGTTCTTTCCTATCTTCAGATTTTTCTTCCATTTTCCTACGCACCGATAATCCCTATTTCCTATGCCTCCCCCACCGGGGGGAGGGGCCCTCACGAGAGTTGAGAAGGGTTTTCAGGAATTGTGGTGGGGGGGAGGTGGGGGGAGGAAGTCTCATGGGTTGCCAGGACGCCCGCAAAGGACCAACTCCGTAGTAAGGGAAGTTTCGGGGGCCGTGTTTCGAATTAAGCTTCTTTAAAGTTTCCCGGGGGGGAGGGGGGTGAACTTCCTGGGGAAGTTTCCCTCGGGGACCGCCATGGCGAATTACCGTGGCGGCGCCGTTCGGCCCGGGTATAAATAAGCGTCGCGGCGCACGCGGAGTCGCTAAATTACCTCCTCCGGGCGAATTACGGTGAGTTATCCCCCTCCCCCCATGCCCCACCTGAAACTTTTCCCCTAGGACCGGGGATTCTCCCTGGCGGTTGGCGCTACCCTTTCCGGCGAGAGGGGAGACTCCCGAATTTTTTTTACGGAATTTTGAGAAACCATTTTTGGGGGTTCCAATAGGGTGTGCGTGGGGGGGGCATCTGTTTGTGTGGGTCAGGATTTCTATTCATCTCGGGGGATGACTTCTGCTTCCAAGGAGTTTAGAATCGACCGGGCGGGTGGAGACACCCCCGGAAATAAGAAGGGGGGAGGGTGATGAACTGACATTTCACGGGGAGTGCGGCGCGGGGGTGATCGCCCCTGTGAGGAACCTTCGAGCTCCGATGAGAAGTAAACCTCCGGGTTATTGGCTTCGTTTCAACCCTCGCCCCCTCTTCGAATTTAATGGTCGCCTCGGACTTTTTTTTTCTGAAATTCCGGGAGAAGGGGGGCTTCCCTCCCCCAGCGGATCTCGTCGCGGTTTCTTCCCTTCTCGCCCGTTTTAAGGGGCTCGTCGCAACCCCCACGGTCCTACTATTTCGAAACAAGAGGAAATTGAACTCCCCCGAGGGCTAGGGGGAGCGGGGGCGCCCGACCCCCGTCGTCACCGGGCAAGGAAAAAGCGCCATCCCTGCGGGGAGGCTTCTTCATCCCCTTTATTTTGCATCCGGGATCTTTATGTTACTGCTCCTTGTACCTCTAGAACCCCGGGGGGGGGGTCGGGGGGGGATCTCAAGATTTTATTGCCGGACTCGATTTTTCCTCCAAGGAAGCACCCACCCCCCGCTTCGAGGGGCCATTATTGTTTCTCCTTTCCCACCGGAATGGGCTTTTCATCCCTCTCGGCGAGTTTCCCGCGTTCGAGCGCACCCGATGGGGCTCCTCCCCCACTCACCCTGCATCCCTCGGGACGCTTCTTCGCGAGATTGCGACACGTCCTTTGCGCGAAGTCCCGGCGAGGGGTGGAAGGAATAAGAATCGGGCACTCCTCCGGGAGTCGAGGAAAGGGTTAGGTTTTCGGCCGAGATTGGGGATGAAAATTCGCACCCCCGCCTGGATGTGGGGGGTCGGTGTCCGCCCCTGTCGTTCCAGGGATACGACTTCCGGTTGTCTAGGGGTGCACGATCTGGGTCGGGGGGCTGTTCCCGAGGGTGACGACCCTCCTGGAAAGACATCCCTCTCTGGGGGGTGTACTTGCTCCGGATGACTTTTGTTGATGGATCGTAAAAATTGACGGTAACAGTTCGCGGGGGTCGAGGTACTCGGTAGAGTCCCGCGCCAAGTATCGGCGTAGGGGTTGTTATTTAATTTCTTTATGTTGATTGTTTGTCGAAAAAAAAAGAAGAAAAAAAAAGAATTGAGGTTTTGCCGTGATTTGCGGAGTATTTTCTTGGCATTTGTCGGGGCGACAAGGTAAACTGATAAGCGCGCTTATCCGGAAACAATCCCCATCGGTGGCCGGAAGTGCGGGATTCAGGACACGTACCGGCTCGCACGATCCGTCCTCTTCGAGGTCGATTAATCGAACGGAACATTCGCCGCGACGACGACACCTCTGGGACCCGGGGGGGTGCGATTCCCGAGGGAGTGCCTCGTGGAGGAGAGAAAAAAAAAATTGGAAAAGCAATTTTTCATATACGCGATCTACGTACAATATGACGTGATAAGGGTGAATGAGAAGTACACCCCTCCCTCAATTTACGGGGTACTTTTTTTATATATCAATTTTTTAAGTAACATCTCAAAAGGCAAGCCGGAAGTCCTCTGCCAAATCCTCCTCTTCCTGATTACCTCAGAGATGGAGGTCGGTCCACCGGAAGCGAGCCGGAACCGGAAGTCCTCGAAAGTACCCCGGGGACCAACTTCCGGCTCGACGGATCGACCGGACGCGAGGCGGCCTCGTATTCCAAATTAATTTTCTGGAGAGACTTCAACCTATCCCGGATTTATCTCCACTTCCTCCGGGGGGAATGGGAAAAGGGAAATAAAAAATAAAAGGGAAGAGAGGAGAAAGAAAGGAAGAAGGTATCCGAAACGTCGAGGGACCGTGGAAGAACTTGGCCGTTCCTAACCTCTGGAGGATTTCCCTCCTTCCTTCGCCCCATCCCGAGGGAGACCCCCGGAAACGTTCCCCGCGATTTTTCATCCCCCCAGAAGTTTCGACCATAGGAAACGCCCCGGAAATCCGAGATTCCTCCGGGGTTGGGAGACGCGTTAAGATTTCAGCCCCCCTCCCGGGAGGGGGGATTAAAATGGGAATCGAAGGGGTAGAAAGGGGTAAATCCTGGGATGCAGATCCAGGGATGGTAGGATTTCTGTCAAAGAGGAGATGGACACGTCCGGGGGCGGAAATCGTCTCGGGGGTTGAGATCGAACCCCCCCTAGCCTCCTGGGGGTGGAAATGTTTCACCCATCAGAGACCGGAAACTGGGAGGATGTAAATTACGGAGGACGTCTGAGATGTAGAAATTAGTTCTCGATTTGAAATCGATCAATCGATCGGTGGGGGTGAGAGGGATCTGGGATAACCTAGAAATGGTATGACTCCTAATGATGTTTTCAATTAAGGAATTATTTATTAAGAGAAGATATTTTTTACTGCGACCTCGGAGGCTGGATTCGATGCTGATCTTTCTTGGGGGAGACTTTATCGCCGATTATTCCGAGCGAGGTGGTAATTATACCTGAGGTCTAATTACCAGGTCGGATGTGAAATCTGGGAACGAAGGGGGGGGATTTTCTCGTGGCAGTCAAAGGACGCAAAGAAGACGCACAGCTGACCTGGTTGTCGTAGGTCGTGGCTTGGAAGAGGTCGTGGGATGGAAGAGGTCGCGATGATCGAGGGGCCCTCGTTTGAGGGAAGGTAATCCGCGGGGAAGACTAGGTCATGGCTCTGAGGAAAAATGGGATAAATGACGGGGAAGAATTACCAGAGGTTGGTGACAATGTGACGAACTGGAGAAAATCCGTCCATCATTGAAGGATAGATCATGGTTCCGAAAGAAACGAAGAATCATCGGATACTCATCGGCGGAACAATCGGGGGATGTTTCCCCACCCCTTAGGGGATGTTCCATGTCATTTCAACATGTCGAGCTCGATGACGTTTCTGAGGCAGAACCGACATATCGGGGTCTCGGTTGCGAATTACGGACACCCCTGCTAGATCCTTTTCCGAGGCCGATAAAAGGGGTGGTTTCCACCCCCCTGGTCCTGGACGTCGATCCCCCTCGCGACGTCGACGTCACGCGGCGTCCTTGGGGACGTCTCTCGGTGATTCTTATGCGGGGCGTCGCGACGTCCCCGTCGCGGAAAAAGGGGTGACGCGTCGAAGCGACGTCGCGCTCCCTCGGGGTGCGCGAGGGATGATTTTGGCAGAGAATCTCTACCGAGGATATTGTTGTCCCTGATATTAGGTAGATTGTTATCAAACGCGTTATCACTCTCTTGGAAATCGTCGCACCCCCAGAGGGTGGAGGGGGTGGCGTCGGAGGGGTGCGCGAGGGATGATTTTGGCAGAGAATCTCTAGCGAGGATATTGTTGTCCCTGATATTAGGCAGATTGTTATCAGACGCGTTATCACTCTCTTGGAAATCGTCGCACCCCCAGAGGGTGGAGGGGGTGGCGTCGGATGTTAACTCGGAAAAGCTCGCTCGCGCGTTTCTCCCGTACATGACGTCGCTCCGAGAATCTCCGGGCGTAAACCGAACCATTGTTTCCCCGTCACGGTCCGCCCGCCGGGCGTTTTTTTTTCCGCCCGGTCGGACGCGCGAGCCGAATTCGCCGATATGCCCACTGATAAAACCGCGATTAAAAAACCGACCGCCGATTAACGCGGGTTCCGGGTTTCCGGTCGACTCGACAGCTCGATCGATTCTTATCGGAGCTCTTTTCAACGAAGATCGATCGACTCCACGAGGAGTAAACGCGCTTATCAGTGATGTTGAACAGTCCCCTCGCTCGTTCAACTACCGATCGTCTCGATCGAAATTGAATCGATTAATTATCCATATATCGATACCGATACGTGATAAGGGCTCTTCACGATTTTCTACTTCCAATTCCTTATAATCTCGATCGCGCGTTATCAGTTCCCCGTTAGATCATTTTAATCTCCGATTCGGAAGCTGCGAGTACTCTCAAAGGAACGAGATGCAGTACTGATAATGTCCTCGCGTGATAAGGAACCTCGCCGCGGGATTTTGCGCCCTGCATTCTTATCACCTCGGTTGCGGCTATCGGTTCCTTTAATTCCTGCACAACCGGCGACAAAGGATGCGAGGAATCCCCAGAAAGTAACCGGAGATAAGCAATCGATAGCAGCCTTGCGCGATAAGGGACGCGGTCGCGGTCTCGCGCGAAAGTCGCGCTTTCTCTGGACGGGTTATCAGTGAAAGTGCCCGGGCGATACCCCGGACTATTCAGGCACCAGGGTTTGGAATTACGTGAAAACGCTCCACCCTCCACCCTCCGCCCCCACTTTCGATTAAACGCCGTTCGATATATTGATATCGAGCCGGTCAGCGATGCGAGCCAATCGCCTCTACACTTCCATTGCCGATCGAACCCCGACACGATTAATTTTGCAATCAATTCCGCCCCCCCGAAATTATCACACTTCCGGGTCATCCTTGACTTTTCCCCGTCTCCCGAACTAACATATAGAAGTCCTCAACACGTGGTGATAACCCCATTTAATTCCTAATTAATACTCAATCCTCCAGAAAATTTCAGAATTATCGTATATACCCAGGTGACATAACCCTTTGCACCCCCGGTTATTGAGAAATCGAGTCACCCCCGACAAAGGGGTGCAAAGGGTTGAAAATGGCCCCGAGCAACGGAATAAAAGTGGATTCCTAATTAAAATCGTCACCTAAACAGTGTATATAAAATTAATCATCAGGAGAGACGGTAAGGGTTAACCACCCCCTTAATGTTTCCCCGAAGCACAGGTGCAACGGGGTGCAGATTCCCCAAGGAATCCCGGGATCTGTAACGATCACAGGTGAGTAACCCCGTGCAGAAGGTCCCAGGCTTACTTGTGGCTGGTCAGAGGGTAGCACCCCCCTCGAAGGTGCAGCTATCACCGGTGATAAGGATAATCAGTCCGGCACTTGGGTCACAATCCGGGCAACTAAATTCGGAGAGGTCGGGCACAAAGGGGTGGCTTCAAAAAACGGGGTAAACTCGGCAGTGCGACATTTCCGAGGTGTGATAACAGAACTGGAACTCCTCAGAAGTGGGTCCGGTAACCGTGATAAGGCCGCGAGCAGCGAGGGGCGCGACTCGCAGCTGCAGCTGCAACTGCAACTGCGACGGCACCGGCCCGCGCTGCACCCTCGTGCGACTCGGCCATCTCTGTCGCGCAGCTGCGCCGGAGATATCGCGGTCCTTATCAGTCGCGTGGCTCCCTCTCTCTCACTAACCACCCCGGGGGGGTCGAGGGAGAAGGAGGGGGGCAGAGCGGCGGCGCGCGGAACCTACCCTACCGGGGGTGCGAGTTCGACTGACGGTCGACGCCCGTCGCGCCGGCGACCCCCCTATATCTGGAGGGGGTGGCGCCCCCTCCACTATCCACATCCACGTTTTACATCTCCGGTCCATCTTTCCCCGCGAAAACCACCCTCGACCCTGATCAATGAGCCAGCCCTCGAGAAAAGTGGAACCTCCACGATTAGAATGGGATTTCCCGAATTTTCCCGGGGTTTCCATTGTTTTATTCGCGAGGGGGATTTGATATGTGGGGGGAGGGGTGATAGGGAAGGGTGTTTTTCTCGGAGGGAGGGGTGGGTGGGCTTATCTTGAGTGATTTGAGATCGGTGGATTGTGGAACTCGGCGGAAATGGGGACTCGTGGGGGGGGCTGGCTGGGGGTTTCTCAGGCTCTTTGTCCCTCTCTTTGAGGTTCTTTGTCTCTCTCGAGTGCCCATCCCCTGGATTCCATCCCTTAGTCCTGTGCCACAGGCTCGCGCCGGCGCCGACCAGCTTCCCGGCTTCCGGCCAGAGGCGTCCCGACGCCTCGGACGGCGCGCACTCGCCCGGTAATGCAGACTTCGTGTTATCGACCTACGAGATAATGGGGCGGAAGGTAATTCTTGAGTCAAGGTCGCGGACTGTAATGGCAGAGAGAATGCTGCGTAGATTAGGGGGGTGAGGTCTATCTCTTTCTTTTGGCCGATGACTTCACGGCGACGCTCGAGTCACCGGTGGTTTTCCCTCGGTTATTCTTACTGGGGATACTTTTTTCTTCATGTTTTCCCTATCTTCTTCTCTCTTTCACTCCCGGGGAGTCCCGTGGTCCCCTCTACGTCGTCTTTCATCTCGGTGTTTCAGGGCCGAGCACGTGGCGCGGCTCTCCGTCCTCGTTCGATACCCTCCGACCTCTCTCTCGCACTCACGCGGTCCCCTATATAGCGGTCTTCGTCCACCCCGCTCTGTCGTCACGGAGTCTGCCCTTTCCGTTACTCCTATGCGCTATGTATAGCGTCCTCTCTTTTTTCCCGCGTTTAGGCCTGTCTCTATCTCTCCTCGGTACTACCGCCGCATTTTCTCTTCCTTCCTCTATTGCGTATCTTCCTCCCGCAATCGACTGGGAATTCTCTCTTTCTCTCTTCCATACTCTGCGGGAGTGTCATCTCTCTCTCCTTCTCACTCTCTAACGCTACCGCCTCGCTTTCTCTCTCTCTCCCCTTCTCTCTCGTATACCTGTTCGACTCTGTAGTTCCCTCTTTCTTTCTCTACCTCACCCAATACTCCCCTCTTCTCTCTCTCGCCCGTCACCTGGCGACTCTCGCTTTGTCTCTCTCCCTCTCCCACTACGCCCGTATCTCCCTCTCTCCTTCTCTCGCCCCGCGCTGTTACGACCGGCGGCCATGCTGAATCTCCCGCTCGCCTTCAGTGTTGAAGCAACTTCGTCGAAGGAAGGAACGCCGCGTGACTCAAGGTACATTTCCTCGGCTTGCTTTCCCCGATTTCGCCCGAAAACAATGTCAAGTGTCGTCGGGGGCCTCTCGGCACCGTCTGACGCCAAAATTCCAGGAATTGGACCCGTCAGATCCGGCTAATTCCTGGAAATCGCGCCTTCTCCGCGTCGTCTCGAGTCGCGATTACTGCGCAGCCGCGAGATCGCGCAATTTCGCGGCTCCTTCCACCTGCTCGATCAGTTTTCCCAGAAAATTCAATTTTCCACGTGTCGCCTCGACCTCGAATTCCAGGAATTTTTTTTCAATGACTCTCGTGTATTCGTTCAAGGTCCCGCGTAATTATCGCGGATTTCACTCCTAGAGGATTTTTCTAAAGGACTCTCGGACAAGTCCTCGTCGAAGGAGGCCTCGAAGAATATTGCGACACAGGAAGTAGCCGACCTTGCGAAACTTGCGTGGAATTGCACTCGTCGAGTCAGTTACTGATGATTCAGCTTCGCCTTACTTCCCATCCGCGAAAACAGCGTCATTAAATTGTCCCCTATTTTTTAAGCGCCATTTTCATGACATTTTCCCCTCTCACCCTCTCCAGTAAATTGTGCGTAATTCTCTCCTCCTCTCTTTCTACCTCTCACCTCTACCCTCCTGTTATTTTTAATTCCAGAAAAATAATGACGACGGCGCACTGCGGCGCCGCGGCGCTGCTACTTATCGTCTGCCTGGCCGGCGCTACTCCGTATTCCAGTAAGTAGATAAAAAGGAAAAGAAAAGAAAAAGAAAATACGAAAAATATTATTTCCACCCGCTATTTACTCTAAGTCGGTCCAGAGTCGAAGATAAAAGTCAAGGAGGACCAGACTTACTCTCCGACCTGATAAGAGTAATCATCACAACCTTCGTCTTAGTTTTCTACGCAGTGGAAGTGACGAGAGGAAGAATTCCGGGAATCTCCATGAAATTTGCGTACATATCAAGGAATCGGTCGCATTCGTAAACCGCACCGCGTTATCACAAGTCGGGAGGTTATCGCTGATAACGATGACCGCGCCGGCGAATTTCTCATCAGCTCCGGGACAACAGGGTGGAAAATAATGTTCAATAATGTTCCCCATTTAGCGTAGTCAATTTCAAACAAGCCTTAGGCGAGTAATTTGGCGCGAATTGCGCGCTATCATGCGATGATTAACATTGGGGGGGGGGGGAGGAAACACGTCATCGCGTGGAAAAACGTTCTCAATACTCGGCAATTTCCCATCTCGTGTAATGGAAATTGGCTGACATTGTTAAAAGGCGCGTTTTATAATTTTACAACATTTTTGTTGTTATTTTCTAGAACTATTTACTATTCATATTTCTTTGGTTCGGTGACACCATTTTTTTTTTTTCTTTTCCTCAGTGTACAAAGCTATTTAGAAATTCCCGGTGAGGGTATGTTAATTTAATTTCCAGGGATAAAGTTTATATTAATGTTGCAAGGTATTTTAATGGTGATATGAGATGATAACGCGGCTGGGGAAAAAAAATGGTCCAGGGTCCCGGATGCTGATCGCGCGCGACGTTTTCCGGGATACGTCGGTTGTAATTACTCCCTTACGATCAATTAGCCCCGCGCAATTCCATTAATCATCAGCCGAGGCCGGCTTGTTAAAAGGAGTTAACCAGGGTGGAGGCGCTTCGAGACGGAGGCGCTCCCTCCGCGTCGGCGTCGCGACGCCACGTGGAATTAACGCAAATGGATTGTCCCGGTCCCGAGGAGATGGCCGAGTAATGAGACATGTCGCGAGTGTAGGTGGAGGTAATCTCCAGGGAGGTACACCTCCTACATTACGGACAGGAAAAGGTTGACCTGGTCCTTAAAATCCGAAGTAAAAAGTAAAATGAAACGAAGAAACATTTTAATTCAAATAATAATTACTCCACTGAGAATCAATTGGCCGCAACGTTGATTAGGAGTAATGGCAATTCATTTCAGCCAAGTAAGTTTCTTCGGTACCATTGAAAGAAATATTTCTTCGGTTCGGACATTTCATTTTTTATCTCGGTGCAATTTTTCTTGAATTTCTTCCGCGATAATTTTTACCCTTTTGACCCATTTCGACATATGGGCGAAATTCGCCTGACCGTGCAGGCAATATTGGACCAAACGTCGGGCGCCTTTAGGCGCTGTTAGTAGCCAAATGGTTATTTATTTTCGACGAAGTAATCAGAACAGTAGTTGAGAGAGCGGGGTCATATCGAATCATTGATTTCGTCTCGTTGAGCGCAATTGACGACTCGTCTTGCGTCGCAATTTCGAGTAATGGCCAGGACGAGTGGTTTGTACACCGGGGATGGGGTACTCTCGTAAGATACACTTACTCGGGCCAATTGGACCAGGACTCTGACGTCTCGTTGTCTTTTCAGAGTATGGGAGGTCCTGCAAGGACATTGGCTGTCTCAGCAACGAGGTTTGCATAATGGCGGAGGACCCCTGCACATTGTACTCTCAGAACCAGTGCGGACGTTATCCTACCTGCAAGAAGATGTCCCAAGCCGGAGGTGATGACCCTCTATCAATATCCACCACCTGTAATGATAATCAATTATGAATTAAAATTAATTTCCATTTTTTAGCGCTCAGCTGCACGACGATGATCTGTCCCAGCGGGCAGTACTGCAAGACTGAGGACGGAAAGCCGACTTGCGTAAACCAAGTACCCAATTCAGGTGAGTACTTGGTACCTCTTCCTCCTGAATTAGTGACGGAGGTGTCTCACTCCCGTAGACACAGATAGAGGGGAAGATATGGGATGGATACGGAACGGTGCTGGACCCTGTGATAACGATAAGCCGGTTGCATGATAGTGGGACCTCTGGACGGCCTTTGGTATCGATCCCGTATTTTCCGAGGCTAATTACTCAGTCTCTCTCCCTCGGTGGTACATCCAGGCACTGCTGCATGACTGGTGACGTCTTGGGAACCCTGCTTTGCATACCTATCCGATCGGTATTAATTGTCCCCACTATCCAGAATCTTGACGGTCCTCTATGCACCTGATAACAAGTTCCTCAAGTCCAGGAAGAATGTTTGCACATATCCTAGAGCACTATTAGATGCATGGGAATCGGGGGGAGGGGGGAATTCCCACCTGGCACTATCTCGGTTATCACGGTTATCACCGATGGCCAGGGATGCGGCGATCATCACCGAACGCAGGTCCAGTCAGCCCGTCCATGATAAATAAATAAATTGTTTGATGAAAAATGAAACTTCATGAGTGTCAGGACCTACTTTAGGGCCTCCATACTCTCGTGGTAAAATCTGAAACTAATTGGCACACAAAATTCGGGGGATGTATATATGTAGGCTGACTCTTTCATATCACCTTAAGAGGATGAAAAATGGTCCATGGCTCATGGACGGGTCGGAAGGTGGAGTAGGGTAGAGATTAGATCATGGAACGGGTAATGTGACCGCATCCCTGGAGGTTGCACCACCTGGCGGCACACTTGGAGTGAACCTGGACCCACCCTCGACGTGTTCCAGGGTACGAATCCGCAGGCGTGTCGATCGTAAACGGGCAGCGGGTGGACGAGGGTCCTAAGGAGCATCAGGGGTCGCGAGACCCCTACGCGAATGCAAACGCACCCCCCGCAGAGCCAAGTTACCCGGTGAACTCGGGGACGAACCTGGGCTACCCGCCGTACCCCTCTTCGGGGAACAACAACGGGTACCCACCATACCCGGTTAATCAGACCCCTAACCGGAGCTCATCGGGGGGCACGAACCTGGGCTATCCACCATACCCGACGCAAAACAGGATGCCGGTTCCAGGTCAGGCCAACTACCCTGGCCAGCCTTATCCTGGCCAGTCGTACCCGGTCTATCCTGGCCACCAGGGGTACCCCCAGCCCCCCGGGTACCCCCAACAGTATCCAGGAAGCGGACAGCGATACCCTGCCGGACAGTACTATCCTGGATATCCTGGGGATCCTTCCCAGAGTCGAGGGATGTACAACACCGTTGGTGGGTACCGCAGAAGCGCCGCCACGAGCGGCGTCGCCTGGTCGTCGGTGATCCTGCTGGCCCTCCTGGTCCTGGCCGGGTGTGGATAAGACCTGGTGTTCCTGGGTCTCGTTCCCCACCTGGATGGGGCTCCGTTGGCCGGAACGACTCCTGGACGCGTCCAAAGACTGGAGGCGAGGGGTTGGGCAGACTCGAGATCACGGGTTGTGCCAGTGGGTTATCCCGGATGCCGTCCTCGTTCCTGTGGCTCTCTCCCAGGGTTGTTCCTGGAGATATCCTAGTCTAGACCATTACCACGAATGCCGTCCTCACCGATGTGGCTCTCTCCAGGGGTTGTCCTTGGGGGGCTTAGTCTTGTTAAGGACCAGATATCAGTCTTCTGATAGTTGCACGTACAGAATATCTCGGGTCACACCTAATCATGAGAAGGGATGAGCAGGAGTCTTGGCAGGAACTGTCTGGATGCACTCTCGCTGGCGAAATACTATATTCTTGGATGAGACGTTGCCTTGTAACTCGAAGACCTTACATCTAAGAGTCTAGGTCGCGACCTATTCCCGGGTAATTTATGCACGAACGGCGGGGACCGTACCGAGTTTCTCGCGTTGCACGTGGGGTCCTTTGCTTTGAGCTCCTTCTTCGGGGTTTCGTTCTGTATTTATCCATAGTCTCCCCTATCGGCAGAAATTCGAAGTATCGGGAGTAGTTGCGTGGTGTCCTTTATCTCGCGGTCCGTGGGGTGCGATGAGCCTTGGCGTGCCAGGACGTTTTCAGTCATCTAGGAAGATGTCCTTCGATGGTCTGGAGTCCTAGTTCGATTCGAGGACGAGGCGAAAGTGAGAGAAATGTTTCAGTCTCACCGTCGAACCCCGGGAACAGACATCGGGAGATAGGACGACCTACGCCGCCGACGCCGCCTCCGAGGACCTCTTCTATGGGTCGCAACACTGGGTACTCTGGTTCTAGAAACACCATCGGTAACAATTCCATCTGGTCCAGGCTCTTCGGGGGCGGGGGCAGGTCTAGGGGGGTGGATGATAAACGCCCTATCACCAGAAGAGAACCCAGCTCGGGAGGATCCAACTACTACGACACCCACACTACTGTGGACAATCGAGGGAATCGAGTCTGGACTTTTTCCGGCTAGAAGCGGTACCGGCAGTGTACCAAGGGTGTCAAGATCATCATCGGGATCAAATACCAACTGCGTCAACTGTGTCAACTGCGTCAACTGCGTCAACTGCACTAACTGCCGTAACTGTCGTAACTGTCGTAGCTGTACCAACTGTAACGACTGTGACAGCTGTACTAGCTGCACAAGCTGTAACGGCTGCACCGGGTGTACCAGTTCTACCAGCTGCACCAGGTGTTCCGGCTGCACCAACTGTACCAACTGCACCGAGTGTTCCAACTGTACCAACTGTACCAGCTGTACACGCTGTTCCAACCGTACCAACTTAACCAACAATACCTGTACCAATGATGTCAACGATAGCCCCTCAGGTTTCAGAACATCATATTGGACATCGTATTCATGAACAACCGGAGCTGGCAAGGGTCTTCCGGATACATCCGTGTATATGGTCTTCGAACTCCCTCCGTAAATACTCCTCTTCTAATCCAGTGTTCTGCTTTAATTTCATTTGTTAACGTTTAACCATCGCGAGAAGCTCGGACGCGCCATTTACTGATGAGACTTGACATGCCTTCGAGCATGACCACTGTACTAGGGTTTAAGGTTTAAGAGCGTCCAATAAAGGCTAATCTTATCAACGAGAACTGCTGGAGTCATCCTTGAGGACCTTGGTGGGATATCTTCCAGGTGGGTGGGTTTATCGTCCTTGAAAATCTCATTTAGGCTGGACTCCTCTCTAGACTGGTTTGTACTAACACTCCGTTCGACTACTAACTAGGCTATCAGGCTATTAGGCTATCAGGCTTTCTTGGCAGCGATGATTGCGTTATCCGATGGACTCGCGGACAGGAAGGTCCGACGAGATCCAGCTCTTCGCTTCGAGGAATGATCGGGCTATCAGAGTTGGGCTCTGCATGCCAGGTTGGCTCCTATGATCACCGGGAGGTCGATCACGGATCACTGACGGCTCCTCGGGGCCAGTCTACGACCTGTTCGCAGAGTACGTCGACGTCGAGAACAGGATCCTCCGCAAACGGCAGAGCGAGCCGGAGGGAATCGTGGTCACAGGGACTTTGGAGACGTCGAAGAAGTCCGATTATCCTGCGGGATCGGGGTACCCATCCAGCGGAAGCTCGTCTTCTGGATACCCCAAGTCGTCAGGGTATCCTGCTGGTGGGAGCTCGTCTTCTGGCTACCCCAAGTCGTCAGGGTATCCTGCGGGATCGGGATACCCCAGTAGCTCGCGCTCCTCGTCTGGATATCCTGGAAGTGGATCTTCTGGCTATCCTGGCTATCCCTCGACGGAGGCCAGCGCGAAGAAGGCTTCGGCCAGCTCTGTGAACTCTGGGTACCCTGGCTCTGGGTCATCGGGTTATCCTGGTTCTGGATCGTCGGGCTATCCTGGTTCTGGATCATCGGGCTATCCTGGGTCGAAGTCATCTGGCTATCCTGGTTCTGGATCGTCAGGCTATCCCAGTTCAGGATCATCGGGCTATCCAGGATATCCCAGTAACGAGCCTGCCATGAGTCGAAGCAGCGCATCGAGGACCAATGCTGGGTATCCGAGTCAGGGACAACCTGCTCCCGGTAATTATCCAAACCAATATGGATACCAGGGATACCAGAATCCTGGATATGGTCAGTACCCAGGGAACTATCCTCCACCTCCTCAAGGTGGATATCCTCCTGCCGGTGGGTACTACAATCCCAATTACCCCGGGTATCAGAACCCGAATGTCCCTCCGCCCACCAAGAAGCCCAGTATCAGCGACCAGCTGACCAGCTTCGCCAGGAACCTTGCCCAGCAGGTCATTACGCAAACTGTCCTGGACAGGGTAACGGGTAAGTCCAAGAACTAGTCCTCGGGATAACGCCATGTCGTATAGATTCATTGTCGTACCTTAGAGGTGAAAATAAAAATCCTTGAATGCGCTGGGAGGAATCCGGAGACCGATGCAGGATGTCAAATCTCCTCTCCCAATTAGCCAATGAATTATTATAGAACAATTATTATATCCATAAAACATTTGTTTAGTTGGTATATGTCCACGGATCCGTTTCCTTTAGAACCTTACTGTATGTTAATTAATGTTAATTGTACCTGCTTCCTCAAAAATTTCCTTCTCACGTTTTGTGGCCCTTTATAACGTCCGACGTGTTATTCTTGTTTTATTTGTCTCCATACAGGCATACAGGGTTTTGTGGTTTTTGTGAGGAGTTCTTCACTTTTTCAGCCGGTTCTCCGGCTGCCCAGAGTTGTAACAGGTGGCAAGTGCATTAGCCGTCTGCATCCTCCACCAGAGGGCAGCACACGATGCGATCGCGCGACCCTGCCCGTGAGCAATCTCCCAACTCATCTCTGTTTCACATTCGTGTTATCGACGAAATTCAGTCGGAAAGGAAGAGAGCGACCGTCTCATCCGAAGATGGGCTGGATTTAGCCAAGAGACGTTATCGACGCGATTTATAATAGACGCAGCGCGTCTGCATTACCGACAAGGCTACTAGGCTTCTACATTTCCGGCAAGGAGCCGCGGTTTGCGGAAATGAAAGATAGGCGTCTCTGGGCGGGGAAAGGCGTCGCAGGGCTGGTTATTAAGGCGCAATTCTTTAAATATTGATTGGAAGTAGGTTGGAGGAGATGTGGAAGTGTGCGCGGCGGGAGGAGGCTGGATGGTGAGAGAGATGCGAGATGAGAGGAGGCGGCCCGAAGGGGAGCGCGTCTATTATATATGATGGGCGCGGCCGTCTCTATGGATTTTTTCCCCCATTATAAATGCAGGCCATTTTGCCTCTAAATCTTTAATTATCCGACCTCCAGCGGTCGTTCGAAGTGTTTCGCCGGCCGGCGACGCCGACTCTATTTTGGCGTCTGTTTCGGGGGTTAAATCCGTCTGATCTTCAAAATATTCACGGATCCGTAATTTACGGCTTATCGCGGGCTCGAATCGGAGGGAAAGGCCACGGTTCCGGGCTCGTTTTTACCCGGATGCGGCGGATTCTGTTGGGAGGTTTCTTCTCGCCGGAGGCGCCATGTTTTCCTTCGGGCGCGCGGAATGTCCCCGGGTTTTGTTTTGCCTTCGGCCACCCTCTCGGCCGTCTCTCCCCAGACTCGCATCCCCTTTTCGGCGACTCGGAAACCCCTATGGATTTTTTTCTTTTTTCACCATCCCGTGGGCACCCCTGGAACACTCGGGACCCTGCCGGTGGGTCGCGCCCCTGGACGTGCCGCTTAAAAAATTCAACCCCCAATTTGTTGCCCGCCGACGTTTAATTGCGATACCCACCTCGGTCTCTCGGCAACTTCTCTGACAGTCGACGTGGATGGGGACATTGAGAAAAACTACTATTTCATTATCGTAGCAAAATGTGTGATCTCGATTTTAAATATTTTTAAAATGTTTATAATGTATTCGGCACATAATATTCAGAAGATACTTACATTAAAATGAAACGAATCGTTTTGTATATCCGTTAGAAAAATATTATGAAACACATGGAGGTAATATTATACAGTATCCTAAAGTAAACGTTTTGCTAATATTTTATACTATCGATGTTATACTTGCGATATATATTTTCTATACATTTAACAAATATCGATAATACCGATAGTAGGGGTGGTTTCACTTCGCCTTAATGGTGATTTATCCTAGACGTGCATTTCACATCCACCGGTATAAACAATAAACGATGGACATAACGTCGCCGATAAGCTGTTAAATATTTACAAAATTTACAATATCTATTAAAAATATAGAAAATAAAATAAACGGAAAATCCACCAGTGCAGAATTTCCAAGCAGAAGCCCTTTAGCTCTCTCGGAGAGCGATTTCCTATATTCCTTTTTCTTTTTTTTTTTCTTCCACCGCCAATTTTCGGGTGTGCAAACAGAGCGCAAACACGACATTGTTCCGCCGAGGCGGGGTGCGCACGCGCCTGCGCGATACAGGGGTGGCAACCCCTTCCGGGCGCTGCGCCCCTTTCTCGCCCGGGATTTAAATATGCTAAGGGAGTTTTTTTCTCTTCTCTCTTTTCCCTTCCGCCGGGAGCCGCTTCTCCTCTCCCCCTAAACTACCCCGAAACTACCCCCTCGGTCTGTCGCGCCCACATAATTACCGGGTGGCGCGGCTCGCGAGAGGAAGGAAAAAACGTAAGAAAAAACCGCCACGGAATACCCGCAACGAAAACCGAACGCGCCCTGGAAGAAAAAAAAAACAACGAGGGACGATATCCCAATTAAAGGGCCGCCACCCCTTAAACGGACCACCCGGGGATGAAGGGCGACGAAAGGGTGGCGCCTCCTAAACCGACGTGCAGCTTATCGGCCACGTTATCTCCATCGTTTACTATTTATACCGACGGATGTAAAATAAAGCACGTCTAGAATAAATCACTATTAAGCGCTGATCCCTTTTTCTTTTTATATTATTTCTGGCTAGAGTCGGTAGGGAAATTGAGGTTAGGGTTGCGAGATGGAGCAGAGGTACGTCTTCACTCTGTGTCCCTCTTCCGTCCATACGTGGAGGGTGGGATTTCGAGGTTAGGTCGGACAGTGGTTTAGATGTCGTACCGTGAAGTGGCGGTGGGTTTAGATAAGGGAAATTCTCTCAGGAAATTTCCTGGGGCTCTCCTTCGTACTCTGTGTTTTGGGATGTGGGGTCCTTCGGGGTGCGTATTCCGGGAATTATTTTTTTTTCTCCCGAGAATCAATCGTCCGGTTCCAGGAATCGATCCCCCGTGACTCCTGGAAACCGCCGGTTTTCGGGACACTGTTTTCTTTTTTTGCGGAATAACGGCTAGGGGGACGAAAAAATGGGGAACATCTGTCGAGGTCCTCGATGCCGATCGAACGGCTCGGGGTGTGTTTAGGTTAGGTTGGATATCCGAGGCTCTCCCCGTGAGACACGTCCTTCCAAGTGTTCCCTCTCGCTCTCTCTTCGAGAGAACCCATTGAAAATCATGGTCATAATGGCGCCGATATCCCATCGGCCTCTGCGAGGGTGAAAGAAAAAGTCTATTAGTTCCGGATCGAGGGGAGAGGTGGCGCAGCGATCGAAACTCCGGCAAATTCTCGGACGACCGAATTTTGGTGGCAGCCTGCTTTCCTAAATCCAAAACGCTATGCAGTTCCATCGAGCCTAACCAGGGTTGGGTAAGTACGATATGTCATGTAATATGGTTTTTTACGTGGATATTACAACGTATAATCTCTTTCTAGTTTGCTATGTGAGCGCAAAGTACATTACGCCATTCTATTTCTAAATATGTGATTATTCATCCGGAGAGAAATTTCATATTAAACAGGGGTTAAATCGAAAGGATTTAAAACACAAGCGCCGGATTAATTATTAATTATGAATTTTTTAACATGTTTATATGTGCATTATGCATCATGTTATTCCATTGTTGTGTAACATAGGGTAGGAACTCCGATGGCAAAGATTCCTTGAAAATGATCACCAAGAGCAAGTCGCCTCCACTCTGAGAATTTTTTAACACATTTCTCGAAAAGGCAGGATTTTCGGGAGAAAAAAAAAACGACTCCAGATTTTCGGGATTATTCCCTCGGCTCCTTTGTGAGGGAAGCGCATTACGCGTGTGCACCTCGGAGGCAAGTGCCGGAAGTGATGCACCCGGTGACCGGTCCCACAATGGTCATCTCACTGGGGATGAAGTTGTAATCCCGCGGGAGGATTCCCGAAAGAGGAGAGGAAAAAAAGAAAAACCAGCCGGGAAAATAAAGGCGATCGAGGAACGCGGAAAATCGGTAATCCGCCGGCGGACAGAAGTAACGAGAGTTTGATGGCGGAGAAAAAGAGGGGTACCCGGGAGAAAAAAGAGAGGCCTTCCCGAAAAACCACCCCACACCGTTCCCGGGGGGTGCGGCTCGTGAGAATAAAAAACCGTGGGGCACGCTTCCCCCCCCCTGAGAACAGGAGTGATGGCTACGAGCTGGGATGAGGATGGAAAAAAAAACGGATCCAAAGACTCCACCTGGTCAGGATGCATCAACATCCGAGACGAAATAAATAAATAAATAAATTTTGGGTGAAAAATCAAATTTCAGGAGTTTCGGGACCTAGTTTAGGGCGTCCCTGTTCCCGTGGGGAAATTTCAAACGAATCGGTACACCCCATTCGGGGAACACTTTCCCCAGCGATTTCACTTATCAGATGACTCTTTCTTATCGTCTTAAGAGCTTCCATGCTAATCACGGTTTGGGTAATCGGTGATAGGAGGTGTGTAGATGTCCCGAAAGGAATCGGGGATCGGTTTTTAGCTTCGCTTTGAGGAAACGGTGGACTCCTGAGGGATGCTGCGTGTTGGTCCAGAGCGCGAGCTACGCGAACCCCTCGCAGCAGCTAGGTGGAGCCGACCCCCTTCGGTTTTTTACACAGGGGCTCCTCGCCGAGGGGGCAACTTTTTTACCCACAGGGGGCCCCACGCGCTCGGGGTGGGTCCCCTTTTTTTTTATACGCTCTCCGCAGCATCTGTACCCCTCGTGGGGTCTCGAAAAGCGAAATTTTTCAGTCAGCCAGTCACTCACCTGGCCCACTCGCGCGCGGTTCCAACTATTTCCTTGTCTCCGAATTTCCACAGTGCGAAGTTTGTTCGAATTTGTTAAATTTCTCCCGAAATCGAATTGAAAATTGAAACGGGGTGAGGAGCGCGATCTTCAACTATTTCCTCGTCTTCGAATTTCTTCAGTGCGAAGATTACTCGAATTAAACATTGAAACAGTGCGAGAAGCCGCAATATAAAGTGACGAAGTGCCAGAGAGTGCATTGTTAGTTAAAGGAGATCCATATTGTTTGTTCTTGCCGAAGGATCCAGCAGGAAAGGGGGGGTGGAAAGTCGAAACTCCTAGCGAGTGGTCCAACGGAGTGAAGATCCCTTCCACGCCTTATCAGCGATTAAAAGAACGGGACTCCACCTCAAGAACGCGGCCAAGAGAAGAAACGAGAAAAAAAAAACGAAAAAGAAAAGAAAAACCACCCCCGATGAAGCAAGTGGCTGGTTTGTCGCCATATTTAACCGGCCTCCCTTCAGGGGTGGTTTTCG